CTCAAAGTTTAGAGCATTTCTTTTTCAGGTGATATGGTTGGGCTGCAAAAGAATAAAGTTAAAGCAGAGGGTTTGGGCCTCTTCCCCTTTATGCCACAGGCTGTGACTTCTGAATGGAAAAAGTTCTATCTTTGTTCAGTGCAAAGTTCCATCTCTGTATACCGCAAACCCTCCTGGTTCCTGTAGGAGACAGGCTATTTGATGTTCTTGATTCTGGTAGTAACTGTCCTCTCAAAACCCAGCTCCCACCTTCTCAGAATTAAACATTTTGCTAAGGAACAGGCTGTCCACTGGACAGGCTTATGCATTACAGTGACATCTCGTGGGCATGGGCAGGAGCTGAGGGCATATGCCAGGCACAGCCTGTGTTGTCCTGTGAAAGAACAGGCCCCCAAATCTAAAATGCAATGGTTCTATCTGTGGCAGTGTCCTTGCACTTCATGAACGGACTGGTCATGTGGATTTGCTTGGACACTTCTCAAAGGCCAGGAAGCCATCTCCTGGCCATCCCACACCCCACCCCATCCTGTGTCAGGTGCACTGTGGAGCACTACCGGAGCAGAGCTGAAGGATCTTGTACTACTGGGACAGGGCTTGGTGCCGGTGGTGCTGGAGCCGGTAGCCTGGTAGTTGCGGGGCTGTTTTCAGCCCCACGTCCTCGGTCCAGCCAGCCGTCGGGCTGCATCCCTCGTTCGGGTGGGCGCACACACCGCACACTTGGATCCCTCCCGGGCATAGCTGCAGCTGGCTGTAGAGCCGCAGCTGTTGGCCCTGGGCGCAGGAGCCTGAGGACGGCAGTCGCTGCTGGCACAGAGCTCTGGTCTCGCTCGCCGGCTGCTCCAGCCTGAGGCGCTCCCGTGCCCGCCCAAACCCGCACACGAGGCGAACGGAGCCAGGCGCAGGAGCCCCGGCGGGCGGGATGCGGCGGTGCGCGGCCATCGCTCCCCCTCCCTGAGCCCGCTGCCGGCCGCTCTCGTGGCCCCGCTCCCCGCCCGGGCCCGCCGCTCCCCGCCGGGCAGAGCCGCGGGGCCGCCGGCAGGAGGCGCCGCGCGGCCGCGGAGCGGCGGGGCCGGGCCGGGCTGTGCCGTGCCGTGCCGTGCCGTGCCGTGCCGTGCCGTGCCGTGCCGTGCCGGGCCGTGCCGTGCCGTGCCGTGCCGTGCCGGGCCGGGCCGTGCCGTGCCGTGCCGTGCCGTGCCGGGCCGGGCCGGGCCGGGCCGGGACGTGCCGTGCCGGGCCGTGCCGTGCCGGGCTGGGCCGTGCCGTGCCGGGCCGGGCCGTGCCGTGCCGTGCCGGGCCGTGCCCGGAGCTGCCGCTCTGCCCCGCGGCCCAGCGCTGACCTCCGGCCGGCGGGCAGCTCTCAGAGCGGGCCCGCAGCAACAGGCAGGGGGCTGGAGCTGTCAGAGAAGGCAGCGAGAACTGCGGCTGCTAGTCGGGAGAACAGGAGGCTCTGGGGGACCTCAGAGCACCTAAAGGTCTTTGTGTAAGCTGGAGAGGGGCATTTTACCAGGGCTTGTGGTGATAGGACAAGGAACAACAGTTTTAAATTGAAAGAGCATTTGGATTGTATATAAGAGCATTTTAAAATTATGGGAGTGAAGGTTGTCCAGGGAAGTGATGAATGCCCCATCACTGGAAGTATTCATGGCCAGGTTCGATAAAGCTCTGAGCAACTCTGTCTAGTGGAAAGAGTCCCTGTGCGCAGCAGGGGTTTGAAGCTAGATGACCTTTAAAGATTCCATTCAATTAAAACCTTTCTGTCATTCTGTGGTTCATGGTGCCATCCCGTGGTTTCATCAGATGGTTCTTGTTAAACATGTGAGCCCATTTGGCAACATTGGTGCTTTATGGCCATTTCACCTGCAGGCCTCTCTGCTTCTGAGGTACCTGAGGTAGATTAACAGCCAGGACCACCAGCAGGAATTTTCAGGGTGCCAGTCAGTCTCCTCCAGGACACTCCCATCTTCTGTTTTATGAGATCCACATTCAGGTCATAACTCTTGTGCTCCTCACACTCACTAGTAGTTCAGGTTAGAGCTCTCCCCAGAGTGATGTGATACCATATTTTTCCGAGTCTCAGGCAGGTGAGCTGCATTACTTTTCCATTGCTTAGATGCTTGTAACAGCACTCTGGTGCCCTTCACATATTACCCCAGTTCCCTCTGCAAAGCCACCCTTTCCTCTTCACTCCTAAGGAAAGGTAGGTACCACTTTGCCCAAAATCACCAGGCCTAGGGCAGTGGGGGATAAACAGCCTGGGATCCAGCTACAGTAGTTTGGTGTGAGTGTTCTACACTGCATACCTGACTCTTCTTGCAGAACCTCTGACAAGTGTCAGGCAGCAAGAACTCTGTTTTGCCAGAAGTGTCCTACCAGCTCCTCTTCCCTCTCTCCTGTAATCAGCTCATCCCGAAGAGGCTGAGCAGGCCATCATGCTCCCAAAGCTTCATTGTAGCCCTCTTCCTTTCCTCCTCATCCTCTCCCGCCCACTGCCCCCATTCCCTTGTAGGCAAGGTATTGCAAGGTGTGCAGTTTTGGGGACGGTGCATCCAGCCCCTCCCTCCCTTGACTTGCAGCAGAGGATGCTTGGGGGTCATTACTTTGCAGTTTTCATAGTATTGTTCTCACATTGTCTATGAAAAATTGCCTCCTCTGCCCTTCTTGACAGCAGCTGAGGGCGACTCCCTAACTCTGTGGTAAGTGGCATTAACTAACCTTTGCCAGTGACCTGTCTCTCTTGTTTCATTTTGAGCCAAGAGCAACAGGTATTCATTTGTCTTTGTCCTTATTGGTTCTTCTACTCAACTTGCTGGAAAACAAGCCCCAAAAATCCCCAGCCTTGGTATTTACCAAGAGTCATGGAAACTGCTTTGATTACCATGGCTGCCAGGCTCTGCTGAGCACTACTAGCTCCAGCACGGCCCATCACTGGGCGCAGGACAGGAGCCAGGGAGAAATGTGCTGCAAGGATGCTCACAGAGAAATGAGAAAAACCAGCTGCTGCTTCCCTGAGCCTGGAAGCATCACCTGGCTCCCCGTGGCTTTGCACACTTTTTGCTTATTTGTGATCACTGGTTGCTGGCAATTGAAGTGGGGGCAGCGGGGGAGGGAGGTGGGGAGAAGCAGAGGGTGGGATGGGAGGCCAGCACAATCAAAGGGAATGGGTCCATGTACAGCCTGTGTTCGTGAGGAGGCATCATACTCCTGCTGGGCTCAGGAAACTGCTTCATGGGCAGAGCTGGGTGGGTCACTTTTCCCTGGTTAGGCACATGAGCCTCCCCACACCATGCAGCTGGTGGGGTGGCCAGGGTCATCTCCCAGGTGGGTGATGGAGGCAGGCAGGGTAGCTGCTGTCAGAGGTGTAGCCAGCCCCATGGGCAGGGAGCTTGCTGTCAGCAGCTCTGCCAGCAACACTTCCCATATGAGGAAAAGATCCTGCCCTGCAGGCAGGAGGTCTTGTTGGTCAAGGCCACTAGGAAGGGCTGGCACCCATAACATAATGGCTGGAGTTTGCCTTTTCTCTGCATCTGAATCCCCAGGAGCAGAAGCCTTGGGAGCACCTGTCAGCTCAGGCTGACTCCACCACTGCAACTGAGTTGTAATTCCAGGCACAACCAGTGCCTGTGATGCTTCCCCAAGCCTCAGCACCCGTGATGGCCTCAGTGGTTCTGCCTGCATGCAGCTGGGTCTCCTGCCCAGCACAGATATTTCAGCTCCTCACCACACACTTGGAGAGAAGGTGGTGAAGGAACTGGTGCTGAGGCTGGCAGGGAGACACAGATCAGCTCACAAAGGCCAGGCTTTACAGCTCATGCATCACCTGGGGCTGAGTTTAGGCTGAAGATGCAGCATGTGGTTGTGGGATGAGAGAGCTTAATGATGCTGAGCCTTTGGTTTTGTCTGTCAGGGTCAGCAAGAAGTTATTCCCAAATAGCTAAGGTGATGGGCTAATTTGGTGGTGAAAAACCCTTCTCCAGATACCTTGCTGTGGAGTTAAAGTGGGTTTTCTTTGGTTTGGTTTTTTTAAGTGGAGTAACCAACTTAAGTATACTTCAGCCCAGGGACATATTTGGTAGAGCAGGCAGTGGTATGACTGCCTGGGCTGAAAATTTCATTGTGAGCAAAGCCTACCCAGGGGGCAGGCAGTCAGCCCAGTTGTACTAGGATGGCCTTAATGCTGATTAAGAACATCTGCCAAGAGGTTTATTAAACTTCAGCTACTTCCAAGAAGGAAGGAAGGAAAGATTTTCTTCTCTCCAGTCCTGGGTCCTGCTGTGCTTGTGCAGAGTTCAAGTGGAGTGCCATGGGGATTGGAGAAAGGTTAGGCCCTAAGAAGAAGGAAAAGCTTTTGCTGCTCAAGGCAGGAGGTGGGTCACTTGTGGGTAAGACTGACAGCTCTGCATCCTTGTCTAGTTCAAGGGACTCTGCCAGACAAAAAGGCCCTGTGTTAGCAAGGTGATGGACTTCTCCAGCTCTAGCTCCCAGCATTGTGACCTGGATCTCCTAGGAAATACCAGCATGAAGCTACTTCCAGAAGCCCACGTGGGTTTCAGCAAAAGCAGAGTTTGGGTCTGCTTGACAAAAGGGTTTCTCTGCAGCCTGTCATGTCTCAGATGAAGCTTCAGGAACAGGATCGTTTGCCAGTAACCACCACCTTGTGCTGATGTTATCTAGTTTCTGCAGAATGAACTTGCTGAGTTGTCATCTGTGACACCGTCAGGGGAAGTCCTGACTCCTGACACTGCAGTTCCTGCCTCTGCTTTGCCATGGCCCCAATTCCAGCAGCATCATCTGTGCTGGTTGGATTTGCTAGATACTTGCTTGTGCCGAAATGTCGTGGGATTGTCAGAAAGAACTGGGCAGCAAGGCTGTGCTGCAGGCCTGTGGGCTCCCAAATCCAATGGAGCCACTAGCAGGCTAACATGTAGTTTCTGGCTGAGGATAAAATGGCTATTGACAGCTCATCTCCAGGTGGTGCTGAGCACTTGGTGACCAGACAAAGCAGCAAGAGGGGGTTTGCACTAGAGCTAATGGGTGGGTATTGGCAAGTACCTCTCAGTACGTGGGCTGCTGACTTCTGTGACAGAGGTAAACTCCGTGGGTGCCAAGCAGAGGCACTGCTGCATTTTGCAGGTGTTTGATTCACTCTCTAGCTCCAGACAGCAGGTAATGGATGGGTGGCTAAGGTAGTCAGGTGCTGGTGCATGCTGGCACTGCTGTATAACCAGGCAGCATGATGGCACCCCATGCAGCCAGTATAACAGGCTGGCAAAGCCAGACTCATTGGTCCAAACAAACCCCTTCAGCTGCAGGTGCAAGGTGTTCTCAGTGTCTACAAAGTGGATGTAGGCACCTGTTCTGCTGTCTGTTGAAAACCTGCAGGTTGCTGGATCACGTGCACAAGTCTTAGGTGCAATGCAAGCAGCCAGTGTATACCCTGTGTGACATAGAGCCTCATTCATGCAGGGCTTTGGAGCAGCACATTTCTTCATCTGACAGCAACCATCTGCTGTGGCTGCAAGGTCCCACACTGCTTGGCAGCTGGGCTCGCATGCTGGGGTAGCAGCAGCTCTGCATTTCTCCCAGCCATGCTCTGGAGTGTGCCTAAGTGCCAGTTGACACCTGGGTGGTTTAGATGTGAGTGTCAAAGGGCTCAAGGCTGTGCTCCAAATTCAATATAGAGCTACCTGGTGGCTCCCTCTCACTGTGCAGCAGGGGGGAAAGGAGGAAGGCTGCATGAGGAATGGGATGAAGAGTGTACATCCATCCTCTATAACTGTAATGCCATGGTAGACAGGAGGAAGCTTCCTTGGGCTACTGTATTTGCTTCTGTCTTCCCTGCTGTGAAATCAGTAGACATCCAAGGATGGGTGCTGACCCAAATTAGGGCTACAGGAAAATTTCCCTATGCAGGGGCTAAAAGTCCCACTAGTTCCGAGTGGAAACTAGTGAAATGCCGCATGATAGAGATGTGCAGAGCAATTCCTGGCTTAGAGATAAGTCTGTTCTTCTGCTCACCCCCTCACAAGATGTTCAAAGAAATGGAAAGACAACTCATTTCACTCTGATAAACTGACACACTTCTCACAGAGCCAGCAAACTGGTTTCTGCAGGTGGACAAGATGCCCTGCTGGCCAACAATTTCAGATGGCTCACAAAGGATCAGGTATTGATATGAAAAACAAGGATACCCAAAACTGAAGTAAAAAATGTTGGCTTAAATAAGATAAAAGATGGCATGATTCTTGGACATCTACTTTGGGGTTCAGGTAAAGAATGGTGGCAAGGAGTTTTTATTTTCCTGTCCCTACTTTGAAACCAGTTTTGGCATTATTCACAACACCAGGAGGACCAAGTCTTCAAATCAAGGCCTTGCACCATCACTGCTGGCATAGCTTAGGGTGTAGCACATCTCCCTGTCCCACCTCCGAAGCACCATGAAGGATGAAGTGCCATGGAAGGCTGCGGGTCACCTGTGTCTGGGCACTGGTGTTGGCAGCCACATACAAAGCTGTAGGAAAAGTAGCCATGTCCTGGAAGGCTGATTACAGAGCACCTCTCTTGCCAGGGTTCCAAAATGCAAGGGTGGAAAGCGCAGGATTGGTGATCATCTGAAACTGCTCCCCCTCCCTCCCTCCATCTGTTGCTCTGAGCCCCCTGGGGAAGCCCTCTGAAATAGACAGCACTAAGTAAGTCCTCCCTCGGTGTTTGGGTGTTTGACCATAGGCCTCCTTCCTTGTGTTTCTCTCAAAAAGGCATTGAAGAGCCCTGACTGAAGGCTCTGTGCAATGGACTAGGTTTGGGTCAGGGGCTCAGCCCTGCCACTGCCTCCCTCAGCAACCTGCTCTGGGACTCTGGGTTGTCTCCCAGAGAGCTGGCAGCAGGCGAGAGCTGTGTGTGCCAGGGTGTGACAGCATGTGCCAGTGCACTGTCGAGCCAATGGGGCTGATACCCATTTGTGTATTTTGGTAACTCTGCCAATGTGGTTCTGCCATTCAGCGCTACTTGCACAGGCACCAAGTGTACCTTCTGCACAGCTCCTCTGTCCCCTCCTGCACAGTCACTCTGCCCCATGCTCCCTGTCCTCCCCCCGCTGCCTCCGATGTGCTGGGCTCCAGCACCGCTTGTACCAGCACCACACATGCCTGGGCACAAGCTCACTGCATGTGAGCCCGTCAGTGCAACTGCTTGTGCTGAACACCTCCCCCGAGAATGTTACGTGAGCTAAAGGATTTGGCAAGCTCTTGTTCCTATCAAATGGGATGGAGAAAATGGAAAACTGTGTACACACCCCCATAAAACAAAAATGAAGCAGAGCCCATTGGGGTGAAAGCACAGTACTAGCATGAATGTTGTTTACAGCCATCTCCTGCTGAGACAGGTGTCTCAGAGTCTGTCTGCAAGAATACACCCTAAATAAGCTGTACTCAATCCTTGGGAGTTTTGAACGTCTTTTGTGGTGATGGGTGGTGTTGAAGGACATTTTCCTCTGAATGGAGTCATGAAGCAGCAATGTAATACACTCAAGAGTCATATATTAATTTAAGAAACACCATCCACCCCCATGCCATGGATCATGGCTTCAACCAAAGCCCTGTAAACATCAAATTCTCCATCAGGCATTGTTGATCCCCTGGGAGTACAATATTTGCTACTTGGTTGCTGCAGTTGGATTCACTGCAGCAGTAGCAGAGTGCCAAGGTTGAGTCCTGTTGCCACCGTGGCTGGGCTGAACAGCCACGTGTGCCTCTCCTGCTCTTGTATTGCCTGGAAGTGCACACACTGGGAAGCACAAAGGAAGCTGGGGCCATGGCCCCTTGCCATCACCAGTTAGTCTACCCCTGGGTGGATCAGCCCTTCTGGTTAAACGGGTCACTGCCCTTCCTCTTTGGGCCTTCCCCATCATCACCGAACGAGACTGCCAGCGAGATGAGTCAAACCGTCAGACAACATCTGCACCCTCCACACACGTCCATGCGCTTGGATAGTTCAACTGGTGGGCTCAGCCCAGGCAGCGGAAGCAAAGAAACCCTGGTTGACTGGGGGGGCGTCTGGTAGCTGAACCTTTTCAGTGTCCCAAGCACAGCTGGGTGATCTGGTTCATTTTTGACTGATCCCAGAAGGTAGACAAGGCCTGTGAAGACAGCAGTGAGAGGAAGTTTGGCCTTGAATGGATGTACTCTACCAGGGTTTGAGGTCTGCTGACCTGGAGACTCCTGTAAGTGAACATGTAAGAGTACTTGCTTATGAGCTGCTAAGTCCTTGCCAGGAACAGATTAGAGGTTGCTTAACTAAATACACAACCAGTTGATCTGTACAGGACAGGAGAAGGAGAATGTGGTTCATCCCATCAAAATAGCCTGGGGTGAACTCTAATAATCAGTGTCTTGAGACTGAAACTCCCATTTGTGCAGGAGGTCTGACCCTGCCAACCTCCTGTCAACACTTCAGCTCTAGCCAAGCTTGCTCTTCCTCTCCAGTGGGGTCAGATGGACCCAGCAACCTGGAGCTTGATGTCCATATCTGAAAAGCTAGCACATTTGTCATTTTCTTTTTACAGTTTCCTTCTTTTAAAATATGGACCAAAAAAAGCCCCAAAAAACAAAAAAACACCAAAAAAACAAACAAACAAAAAACAACAACAACAACAAAAAAACAAACAAACAAAAAAAAACCAAACAAAAAAACATTACTAATGACAGTCAAAAAATCCCGGCACAAAAGTGGCAAAGCAAAGTACCAAAGACCTAGAAATTGCCAGAAATGGGTTTGCCTGGGCAGCCTAGCTTCAGCTGTCTTGTGCATATGATCACTTCCTGCATTTTGCCTAGGATTGCCATCTCTTCAGCACCTGGGCTGGACCTTAGCTGGAGGGAGCAATAAGCTGGACAGCTAGGCTGCCTCCTTTCTTAGCAGGGCTGGGGAACTCCTATCATGTTGGTGAAGCAAGAGACTGCAGAAAGAAAGGTGGTTCTCCTGGGTAGACAGCTGATGCCTCCCTGGAGAGCTCAGTCTGTGTCTACCCCTGCCTTGAAGTTACTCTGTGAGTTGGTAAGCCACATAAGCGAGAGCTTTCACAGGAGGAGCCACGTCTTCCTCATTTCCCAAGCTGCTTTACAGAAGTGCTAAAGATTTGCAGATGCAGTCACAGACATTAGGATATGGGGTTTGACTAAACTAAGTGCTGTATAGTGCCAAAATCATAAAAAATTGAGATCCTAGTTGGTTCAAAATGTGTATCCAAAATGAACGAGTGCTTATGACCTAAATTTCCTTTTTTTCTTATTTCGCACCTGTTAAATAGGTATAACTCCATGCCCTCATCATCAGCTCTGGATCTGAAAAGGTGCCTGAGAAAACAGCTTCATTAGTAACCCTGAAGCAGTCACTCAGTGCTGAAGTGCCAAGCATTAGAAAGAGTCCGTGAAGAAATGGAAAGGCAGGATGTTGAGGTACGCTGACTGCAGGACAAGATGACGGTAACATGGCCATCCCAGGGAATAAACTCTAGTGGATCATACAGCTACAGAGCACAGCATGTTACACAGCATGAGGGCATAAATACAGTGTGCTTTAGGGATTTAAGTATGGGATTTCCATCATTTTGAGTGCTTGATTTACAGCCCTTGTAATATATCAGACTTTACGGGTGTAAAGTACCTGTTACTTGTACTTTGGCTGGTTGTACCCAGTAACAACTGAAAGTGTTGGTGTTTGTTCTGTGCCAAGTGGGATGAATTTGGTGGAACTATGCTTCAGCTCTCCTGGCACAACCTCACTCTCACACTCAGCTCAGTCAAGATGAAATAGCCCTGGTGACAGAGATTGGGGAAGCTGCACACGTTGCAGACAGGACAACAGGGCAGAGCGGAACATGGGAGAAGCATCTGGTAGGGAGCAGGGACTTTGTTCAACATGGCCATTCTCAGCACTGATTTCTGCAAAAGTCTTCAAACTCATGTGAGGAATTATAAACAAGTCATTGCAATTGTCCAAATATTGTAAGAAATTATTTGCATAAAATGCTACATGTGAATGAGAAACAACCTCGGTGGTTTACAGGAGGCTGAAGTTGGTAACTGCTCTAGGCTGGATTTTTAAATAGCACTGTGCACTGAATAGCTGTGCAAATGATTTGAGTGAGGTGGATGGGCTGAGATGCTGGTTTGAATGTTGCTGTCATAAGCCTGCTGCAGGCAAGAGCTTTGGAGCAGCAGGTTTACAAGGAAACTCCAGCATCCACCTGTGCTGAGGAAGCTGGTTGCACAGGTGGGACATAGGGAAAGAGAATTTGAAGCAAAGCTGGTTGAAAAATACCCCATGTGCTCTCTTGGTTCACAGGAACCCATCTTGTAACACCTTTTTTTTCTCCTTTTTTTTTTTTTTTTTTTTTTTTTAAATCCTGGGAACATAACTCATAACATAATCCATCCCACAGAGGCAGGATTCAACTTGGATTTCTTTTGAGAGAGGTTTCTTCCCAGCCACTTCATATAAAAGGGGTTGAATAACTTTCCTGAATTGCCCATCCCAAGGTCTTGCTAACCTCATCTTGCTTCAAATATCAGACCTCCACATTTCCTGCTGCAGTTGGAGCCTGTTGCTTCTTACCCTGCTTTGGCTGCACAGAAACCAGCTGGCCACCCTTTCCATTACAACATATGAAAGACTGTTCCTTCCTCACCACCCACTTCCCACCCCCAAGACTTCTCTTTTCTAGGCTAAATGGGCACAGCTTCACTCCTTTCTCTTAGGGCAATATTTTTGTGTGTTTATCCTTTGTATTGTTTTCTTCCAGACTACTCCACTTCTCGGCCTAGGACTCTGAAAGGGTCCTGCATAGGCAGCACAAGGCAGATCTCTCCTCTGCCTTGCCCCAGAACTCCAAGTCAATGCCTGACCCCTTTGCTGTTGGCAAAGCTTCAGTTTTCAGTTTTCTGCAACCCCTGGATTTTTGTCTGCTATTCTGCTTTCTCTTTGGTTATTCCCCAGATCTTCTACCTACAGCTCACTTTGCTTGACATTTGCATTTGTCCTTGCTGAACTCATCTTGCTGCTTTCAAACCATTTCTCCACAGTTGAGATCACACTGAGCCCAGGCTTCTGAGTTTCTGCAGACAAGGAATCGAAATGTTGAATAGCTGAGTCCTTTCACCTCTGGAGGAATTTTGATGGATCTGGCTCCGTTCCAGGGACTCTGTGGGATGATTTCTTCAGAGTTCAATTTCATTGGAACAGGGGCACCAGTTGTGAGTTTGTGGGTCCCAAGCTGGGCAACTCTCTGGGGGCTCCCTTGGCAGGGGAGACCCTCCTGGAGCAGTTCTGTGTCGGGAGTGAGACACATTGAACTTTTTTGGTTTTCAGCTTCTGTTTATTGTTATCTTATCAAAACTTTAGCACACTGTCTGCACCAGACTCTGCGTGCAGGAAAACCAGCACAAAAAATGGCTAACAATCTCTTATTACAAGGCCTTTTAAGTCTAATCAAAAACTAAGCTACCCAATTAGAGGTGACATCTAAATTATTTTCCTTTCCAACCCAGTAACTGATCCCTAAAGACCTGCAATGTGGATTTTTCTACCCAATTACAAGATACCACCTAAACCCAAGAAGAAGGAAGAAAAAGAAAGAAGAAAGGAACTGGAGACAACAACCTGGTACCCTCCATCTTCTATCCATCTATAATATGCTAAAAATCCTAAAACCTAAATTTTTCACCCATGTGACATACTACAGTACTATCTACAATCTCTACAATCTATTTCACACTTTTGTGGTTTCTAGTTTACCTTGAGTCTTTGGAAGTTTTCTCCATGAATGAGGGTCAAAGTTCCACACTGCAGCCACTCTGTCTTGGGAGAACAAGACTCCCTTCAGCATTGCCTGCTGTAATTTACAAGGGACAAGTACAAGGTTGGTCCTGTCCTTCCCCTAAAAACTTCTGGAACCATCCTTTCTCCATCAAGCTGCTGTTATGGCAGTAGCCTAACATTGGTGAGTTTTTCCAGTGCCACCAACAGTGATTTCACAGCTCCTGTGATTAAGATCAAAGAAAACTAAATGATCCCAGAAAGTGAGGGAATGTTATTCACAGTGTAAATTCAGTCACCCAAGTCAAGCAAAGAGATTAGGAGACTGAGTCCTGAAGATGTCCCTCATAGAAGGGGGAGCCTGGGCAGGGGCAGCAGGAAATCAGCTCCCTATGTTGTGCCTGCAGCAGTGCCCAGGCCAGTTCCCACAAAGCTGTGGACAAATGCTGGTGGAGCCATACTGTGGGTTTCTGCTGCTCTGGGTAGGGGGATCACATCTCTGACCAGAGAAATGGCAGAGGGCTCTCACTGCCTATGAGGAGACAACATGGGTCCAATCCAGCCTAGCCCAGAGGAGCATTGTGAAGGCTCTGCCAATCTTCCCACCAGAAGACACTTGTCTCACAGATGCTTATTTTTTCGTAAGTGGCAGGAATTCATTAACATCATGGCCAGTTCAAGAGAAAAGGGTGTTTGGACAAGGCAAGGAAAGGGATGCTCTCTTATTCCTGATCAGAAAGACCAGGTGTCCAAACCCTCTCCCATGCTGTTGCTCTCTCCTGAGGTATCTTCATCAGCTGGTCATAAAAGCCCACCTCTGTGCAAATCAAGGTGCAGTCAAAACCTTCCTCCTGTGGATCAAAGAACAGCCTTTGCCATAGCCACATTCTGGACAGTTTTGCACTGCTGTCCAGCTCCTTCCAGGACACTCAGCTTCCCTCACTACCTTCTGCCAACAGCCCTACCACCTTCCCAACTGCCTCCCAGACGCTGGCCCTGCTAGCTACAAAATGAAAGAGTTCAGATAATTTGTCAATGGAATGGATCAAGGATCTTTTTCTCTGAGGAAGGAGCTCCATCCATCCAGCAGCTTGCAGAGCAGGACAGGCCAGGCAGTCTCTGAGACCTGCTCACCAGCAGAGGAGTGTGGTTTCCTCGGGAGAGTGGGAATCCAGCAGTGTGCTTCCTGGAAAGGAAATGCTGTGCAGGGTTGCAGAGTTCAGAGGAAGTGTAGTGATGCAGCGAGCTAATGGATCCTTCAAGGATTGTTCTGGAGCCAGCTGCACCAGAAGAGCCCTGTGTGCTACAAGGGGGCTGCACTTCCAGGAAATTGGGCCCCTCAGTGTGGGTCATGCCAAGCAAACTTTTGGAGTCATGTTAAAAAGTGTGGTGGATCCTATCATTTCCATACAGCACACCAGGACAAAAAATACACTCAGTGCTGTGAAATGTTCAGATAAAAGGGCTAAGGGTAGAACACCAGTGCCACAGGATGTTTCTAAAAAGGGAAATGTGACAAATGGAGTAGTTTTGCTACTGGAGCTAAGTCAGGAGATTTCTCTGAGCCACGCAGCCTGCAGCCAGCCCCACGCAGTTCTTGGTTTTGGCCATGTTTGCTCCTGTGTTGGCTCCATGAGTGGCAAGGATGGGAAGAAATGCTATCATTGCCCATGCAAGTCTGCACTGTCTTGCAAGCACATGCTTCTCTGCAAGTGTGTTTTCTGTGCTGCAACACAGAAATTATTTCCAATACTCTTTTCCAAATGATGACTGCATCTCAAATGCCCTTACCCATGTCCTGCTGCTGAGACTTGCTAGCTGTTACTGCCTGAGGCAGGAGAAATTCAACCAAAAGACCCACAGACAACAAAAACCAGTAAGCTGGGAACTGGGAATTGCTGTTTTCCACAGGAATGGAATACTGTGGATGGGTTCATGCATGTTTCTAGATCTGCTCCTTATTGCACATGCAAGAACTTAGCAGCTCTAAAGTTGTCTGCTTCTGTCTGTGGATGGAAAGCCTGTTGGCATGTGGCCCTGGCTCACCCTGCTGGATCTGGTGACATGAGCAGATCAGAAAGCCAATGGTCCCTGCTTTGGCACTTCCTACACTTGCATTGTCACCTCCAGAGCCACTAGCATGAGGTACTCTGAGGGTACCCCTGAAGCTCTGCTGTTCTAGGGACAGATTGCACATCTTTAGTCTTCTGAGGTTTGGACAAAGGATAGAAGTAGTCCCAGAGAGCACAGACTGGGAGACAAAGAAGGGGATCCAAAGCAGCTTCTCCTTGCTGCTGTCTTCATGTCCTGATCCATAGATTCTTACATTTACAGCACTTTGCCAGGGCTGCTATTCCCTTATGGCCAGTGGTGACAAACTAATGAATGTTTTAAAGTGCTAAATAGCTTTGCTTTATAGAAAATACTAGTCCTACCCAGCCCAGTCCAAATGATCCTGAACCTTTCTTCTTAAATGGGACTGGTGCTACATCGTGCCCACGTGAACCACCTGCACAAGCAGTGTTTATGTGGCAGCTGCTGAGGGTACCCATCCCCTCCCCACGTCAGTGGTGTCGGGGGCGGCAGGAGGAGGTGGGTGGGTTGTGGGGAGATGTGTGGCTGCTTGGGAATTTCCTCAGCTGTGCAGGGGTGACTGAGGTCGCCTGGGGCTGAACTGACCTCCTGCCTCCATGGGGTTAGCATGGGACAGTACCTCTGGAATTTTTGGGGCTCCCAGCATCACCTCCTCCGCACAGCACTCCTTTGAGGGTCCAAGTTTCACAGCCAGAGGTGGGGCTTTTCTTCCTTTCCATCTCTGCTGTTTGTCTCAGAGAAAACCCATCGCGTTGTTTTTCAAGTGCCTGAAGGTGTTTTTCGGGGGTTTTTCAGGCTATATTGAAGCTCATTTTTCCCAGATGTGCTTTTTTTTCTTCTTCTTTTTTTAAAATGGGTTTTAATTTTTTTTTCTTCTGTAATTTTACTTCTTTGCCTTAAAGTTTCCGGCCACGTGACTTTCAGCTTACATCCCTGAGTTTCTGAGAAACCACAGGAGGCTGAGACCTAAAGGGAAGGTGCAGAGGCTCTGAGAGGAGAGGCAGCGAAAGTGCTGGACTGCTGGGCAGGAGGACAGGAGCTTCTGGGACAAGTAAGAGTAGGAAGCCAAGGGTCACATCAGAGGTGACAGAGGAGGGCAGAGGAGAGGCAGAGAAGCAAGACAGAAAGTAGTCACACCAAGAGCACAAAGGAAGCTGAAGAGACCCTGGGAGCCAGAAACAGCAGCCATGCCCCACAGCTCTGACAGCAGTGATTCCAGCAGCTTCAGCCAGTCGCCCCCTCCCAGCAAGCAGGTAAAGCAGGGGCCCTTCCCCAACTCTCCCCAGCTACTTCAGGGTGGGCCACGGGTGGGCAGGAACTAGGGTGGCATCCACTGTCTGTGCTTTCACAGTGCAATATCGCAGAGCTTTCTAAGAATGGCTGTAGGGAGAGAGATGCAGGGCTCAGCCAAAAGCCCTGGCAGAAGCTCCAGCCACTACCTGGGCATGGGCAGAGAGAGAGGACCTGGTTCCCTGGGGCTATACCAGGGGCAGCTGGGGGCCCAGGACCCCCAGGCATGGTGGACCCTGTGATACACGCCAGGCAGGCAGGAAGTTTTGGTGTGATTTGGTGCTCTGGTGAGGAGCCTGAGCACGCACCTCCTGGCCGTGGACCACAGCAGCTCAGGGGCAACCTGCCTGCTTCCTGCTTCTGTGGACAGAACTTGGGACCCAGAAAAGCCCTGCTACTTTGGATCTGCTTTCTTTGTTCAGCCTCAGCAGTTTTTCATGTCAGTGATGCTTCACAGAGGGATTTTGTTTTCTTGCATGGTATACCTTAATGGTAGATCTTTTCCTGGCAGATACAGACATGAGTCTGAAGTATTCTCACTGCCTTTTCTGGCTAAACTTCATTTTATCTGTCATTTACCATTTCTTCAGGGCTGGCAACAAGAGCAAGTGCCTGAGACTTCGCTCAGAAATCTTGAAGTTTATCAAGGCAGATGATTTTTAGCTTCCAAACAAGGATGGGAATGCATCTTGGCTTGCATCCTGGTAGAGACAGGGATAAAGCACAAGGTTTTCCAAAGGATAGGGACTGGACTTGATGCAGGATATGGCAGCTGCTATATCTGAGACATTTTCAGGGTATTGAAGGCAAGGATAAAACGGTTAAGTTCAAAGAAAAATTTCTTGGGTTTGGGGGAGGGGGGGAGAGGATGTGGACAGATAAATGGGCTGGGAAGATAACTTTTGTGGCTGGGTTTTGTAGTCTTGTGGAGAAGTGGTGATGTGAATGTTAAGGAGTCCACAAGAGGGGCAGTGCAAAATGAAAATAGAAGATGAAAGTCTGTGTGACAGTTGCAACTGTCAGAAGGCAGCAGAAGGACCAGATCTCAGCAGAGAATGGCTGGTGCATGAAGCTCATGACCTGAAGCCTAGAGACCTCTGTTCTCCCCTGCCTAAGGGGCTTGGGAGTGTTGCAGTCAGCAATGCAGGCATTGCTAAGGAATTCCAGAAAAGAGCAAGGACGGAGATAAGAGAGGTGGAGCAGATAAGATCTGTGTTAAAAACAAAAGCTCTGAGTCTGTCTAGTTAAACAAAGCAGGGGCCATATTGTGTTGTGAGGGTTTGCAACAAATAAAGCCTGAGACAGAAGGGTGATAGAGAAGGGAGGGACCTACAGGGGTGAAAGGAGGAAAACACATGCTGAATATCTGGAAAACTTGTATATCCAAGGAGCTGGAATATCTACAGTGCCATTGACCTGCAGAGAGACAGGAAAAGAAATGGTTCTCTGTAGAAGAATTCAAATTATCTTTTTTCCCAGAGGGAGGTCCTTACTCTGGTCCATCAAACTATATCCCAGGCCAGTGTGTTGGTGAAGAGAGTGGTCATTTCCCAGCTGTGCTGGGATCCCCAAGGATGTCAGATGTGCCCCTCCTGGCAACAGAGGTACTAAAGGCATCACATCCCCTGGGCTACAGCTTTACACTGGTGTGGAGGGTGTGTCCTGTGCTTCAACGATGTTCTGCTGTGTCCCTTTCCCAAATACTGCCCTGCAGGAGAAGGGTCAGGAAGAGAATTACCCAGTCATTTCCATGCCTTGTTTCCCTAGGACTCTTCTGATGATATGAGGAAAGTCCAAAGGAGGGAGAAGAATCGAATTGCTGCCCAGAAGAGCCGCCTGAGGCAGACCCAGAAAGCAGACACGCTGCACTTGGTGAGCACTCCCACCCTTTCTCATCCCTGGTGCTGAGGACTAATAGGAGACAACCATGATTTTCCCCTGGGACTCAGAGCAGAGATGCTCAGTGGAGGCAGGACAGGAGAAGTGAGGCCAGGGCAGGATGTGGGACACAGCACTTGCAGTGAAAGCATGCAGTCCAGGATGACTGCCACTGAAGCATTTAGTTTTGCAGCTCCTTTTGAATCCATCTTTATCTCTCAGTCTTGCATTAGTGATTTCCTTTCCCAGCCTCTTCCGATTGAGCTCTTTGAAAGCATAGTCTCACCTGGCTTGGCTCTCCCCAGGTTTGAGATTCATGCCACCACTTATGCAGAGGTGCAACAGCATACAAAGATATTTTTCTGTGCCACTGTGGGCACCCCCATCACCTCTTCCCAGTGAGAAGAATTAGATATTTGCCTTTCAGAAGGGATGGTCACTTCTGGCTGTGTGTGTTTGGGTAGCTGTATGTTGTCAGTGTTGGAGTATAAGGACTGGGATGCTCTGCATTTTGCACATTGATAAGTGTGTCCCATGTATTTTGGGCCACTGATGGGAAGGATGAAGAACATGCAGCTTGCAGGGGCAGAAACCATCTTTATCCCTAGGCTGGACTTGGCTGTCTTTTGAAAAGTGGTAGTTGAGCTCATGTTTGAAAAAACATCCTTTGATTTAGCAGTCTGCATATTCCCATTATTGGAAATAATTCTTGAGAATCTAGTTCTGAACCTTCCTCCTTACCTAGTGCCCTTAGTCCATGGTTGGAGCTAAGTTTAAGGCAGAGATTTCATTATTTTCTCAGTAGCTGATGAACTTTCTAGAGCTGACATGACTCTAGGCTGATTGCATGACATCAGCCAGCAGCAATGGCTCTGGACAACTGTATCTGAGAGAAGTGAGAAAATACCCTTTCCTTGGGGTCAGTGCTCTCTCTACAGTAGTCCTAGAGGTAGGTATGGGCTCTGAGCTTCCCCCAGGAAAATTCTGCCTAGCTGTACACCAAGCAGGATTGGGCGGCTTTTGTTAGAGCAGATAACAAACCACTTGCTTATGAGATTACTGCTGCTCAGCTAGCATTAATAGCACACAGTCCTTGCCTTCCCATTGGGATGGGGCAGTGGGGCTAAGTCCAGTTTGAATCCTGACAGGCAAATGAAAAAATGCAGGAAGACAAGTAGATGATGGATGGTAAATTTCTGCTAGCTATTTTTTCAATTCCAGTGGACAGTGACCCCCTGCTGCTCCTGGGTTCATTCCCTGAGCACTCTTTTCCTTTGGTTGATTCTGCATCAGGGACTTTGTTTCTCTGATGTGGTTCTTCACAGAAAAGCATGGCTCCTTTTTAGCTATGGTGGTATGAAAGGAGCCACCAGCTCCATCTACCCCAGGGTTTTCTAGCTTGTGTTTTGAGGGGAATGAGTCATAGGAAAGATGGGACTCCTGGCCCCTGGGTGATTCCCATCAGTTCCCGAGTTCAACAATAGTCATGATTTCCAAACAATTTGGTCATGCCTGAGAGATGCTGTTTGCTATGTGAGTTCCTGCTGTGACAGCAGCTGTAACTGCTGGGTGCATTTCAACCTGTGCACAGACTGGGCACCCTCTGGAATCAGCATGGCAGCAGAGGGGCAAGCAGAAGGTTTGCTTTGCCAAGGTGGTGGTGCATTTTCCAGAGCCTCCATGTGCTGGGTCTTACTTTAGCACTCTCAGCTGAGTTTCCAATCCTCTGGTCCTGCCCAGGCTGCTGGCTTCATGGTCAGTTGATGCCTGCAATGCTTCAGCCCGGAGCTGGCTGCACTTCAGCAGAAGCAGAGGTATCAAAGGCTTCGATGCTCTCAGCATTGTCGAGACAAGGCTGAGCATAATTATTAACCCCTTTGTTGTTATTCTCATTCATACCAGTATTAATTCAGTTCTTTTGCGGCCTTAGTTTCTCTTTTCTTCTGACTCAAGCGTCTCTTCTTCCTCCCCATCGAGCCGCTGCTTTCCTCGGCTGCTAGCAGGAAGCAGTGAGTCTCTTCTTTCCAGGGCCATGACAGGTTTCCTGTGGCAGGTGGTTTTCTGATTAAAGACGGCGGTTATTCAACGTGCTCTCCCCCGGGGGCTGGGCTGCCCGGGAAGCGCCCGGAGATGTGTGTGTGCATGAGAGGGAGCGAGAAAGCCTGGGCGGGAGCAAGCCACAGTCAGTTCTCGTAAGCCGGGGCTGAGGAGCGTGGCTGGGGCTGCCGGCATCGCACCCACACCCGGCCTGGCCAGCTGGGGGAGGAGGGTTTGCCCAGGCGTGGCTCTGTGATGAATTTACCAGAAATACGTAGTTCTGGAAATTCTGTGGGGCAGAGAGGTGAAGGACCACAGCCCTCATGTCCCTAGCTCATCCCTGTGGGTCCCATGCTGAGGAAACCCCTGTGGTTTTGTCTCCTCAGGAGAGTGAAGACTTGGAGAGGCAGAATGCTGCCCTGCGCCGGGAGATCAAGCAGCTGACAGAGGAAATGAAGCACTTCACCTCGGTGCTGAGCTCCCATGAACCGCTGTGCTCCATCCTGACATCCCCTCCACCGCCTCCAGAAGTGCTTTATGCCACACACTCCTTTCACCAGCCCCACATTAGCTCCCCACGCTTCCAGCACTGAGCCAGCCAGCAGGAGAGCAGCCTGCCAGCTCCACTGACAGCAAGAAGTAACTTTGTGGGGCTTGCATTCCCATCCAAGGGAAGGAATTGGACACATGGACATTCCTTCTTAAAGTATGTATTCTGAGTGATTTGCCTAAGACTTGCTCCCTTGTACAGAAATGGCAGAGCCACCATGAAGCATCTTTGGACAGTTTCCAGCTTGGATTCTGGGAGGAAGAGGCAGTCACAAAAGGGCACCAACCCCCTTCTCTGGTCCTTGTCTGGGGAGACTCACAGGAGTGTGTGGCACCGGCAGCCTCCATAAGAGCAGCTGGCCATGGCATGCAACAGTTAGACCTCCAGGAAGAGGAAAGGGAGCAGGGATGGAGGGGAAGGTTGGGGGCCACAGAGTGTCAGGGCAAAATTGGTTTATTTTTGTAAAATAAAGATTGAAAATGCTTAACTCTTTGTTTTCAAAATAGGATTTGAGTCACTCCTAAGGCCTGACGTGATACAGTGAAGACACAGGCAGCAGGATGGGAGGACTTGGAGCCCAGAAAACAGCCCTGCATGCACAGGAGTCTAATCCAGGGCCAGTGACCAGAGCCCCACTTTTAGAAGGAGGGGGCCCATGCACATAGGCTGGGCAGACTGAGGAGCAGTGGTTTATGGGGTGGTGAGGTCCCAGGGGAGCCTCTTTGCTGTAGAGCTTGACCTGGCTAAAGAGTGTGACATGCCATGTGGTGGCTATGCCTCCACATGCTCCCTTGCATGAGTGGAGGTGCACTGCCATGCTGTATCAGCTCCCAGGTCTTGGTGGGCTGATGGAGCCTTCAGTTTGGCCAGCAGCATGGCTGGGAAGGAGCACCATGGTATGGAGGGAGCTGGTGGTGTTTTCCTGGTGTGCACAGGAGAAGCAGGACCCAGCAGGACTCTTGCTCCAAGGTACCCTGATATGGCATGTAGCTGCAGCCTACATTCTTTCCCCTTGTCCATCAGTCACAGCTCCACAAAAGGCTGCTGCACTAGCTCATGCATTGAAACAGATGAAACCTGAAAGGTCACAGAGTAGATTAGTAAGTACTCTGAGTTTGACTTATTGGAAACACAAGCCAGTCCATACAGGTGGTCTCTTGCACCTTATCCCACACGAGGCAGCAGCCCCACTTTATACACAAGGTTGAAGCCCACCTTCCAGTGGTTCTGTTGCCAACAATGGCTCAGGACTGCTGCCATCTTCAAGGAGCATCAGCTGCAATCTTTTCAGCATAGACTACCACAAGCAGTGCTGCTGAAGTAGGCTTTTAAATGAGGGAAATAGACCAAATTTGTAGATATCCTTCTTGCAGGCACGGAGAAGCAGCCTATTTCCAGATAGGTTTTGGCCCATCATCATAGCCCTCAAGAGTGATTGAGTAAAGTCTATAATGTGCCGTGCTGTGCACATTTTCTCTCTCTGGTTTGCACTAGCGAGATACTGTATTGACTCGTCAAGCTGTCCTCAGGATAGCTGCAGAAAGCACTGTGATTTCTCCTGCCATGATCTGCTCAGAGGTTTGTGAGCCTCCTGCCTCCAGTTTCTGTGCCAGCATGGGGAACACTGTGGTCAGAGATGCCTGGTGTCAACACTTTGGCCTGGGTGTCACCACCCTACAAAAGCAGTGCTGAGGCAATGGGTGATTGCACTGGCCCTCCCTGTCTGTGTAGCTCTGGAATGAGGATGAGTTTAGTTAAGGACATAGGGAATGATGCTGGTTATTCCAGCCATGGAGCTGGGTTTCTACATATAGGGAATGATGCTGGTTATTCCAGCCATGGAGCTGGGTTTCTACATATATGACATGCAGAACACATCTACAGGAACAATTTTATTGTGTCTTACACCATCCCTCTCTTCTAGATCTCACACCAATAGGCTTCACTCTAACCGTTAGTTCAACAATCAGAGCTGCTGATTCCTTGCACAGGCTATGCTTTGAGCCAGCCAGGCTACACAGACTTTTCCCAAGGTGCTTTTCTCTGGAATTTGTCCCTTAAAGCCTCAGAGAGACAACAGACTCCAGCTCTAGTTAAGCGTGTCTTTACAGGTTCTACTTCTGCTCCTTGAGCTTCTGGTAGATTTTCTCCAAGATTTTTAACTTTCACTTATGCTGTTCCTTAGGGTTCTGGTTTTCCCATGCTTCCTGGTTTACATTCAGAGAAAAAAGCTACTGCAACCTTGACTGGGATTTGCTGTGGAGGGCACTGCAGGCTCATGCTCTTCACTGGAGGATGCAACAAAGTCCCACCAAAGCTTGCAGTGTTGCACACAGTGAGACAGCACCATCCGTGCTGCGACCTTTGTATTTTCTCCTGGCTATAAAATGCTAAGGTTTGTTTTAGCTGCAGATGGAGAAGGTCCTACCATGATGTATATGTGACCTATGCCCACACAGATATGGAGCCAATATTTCTGCTGCAAAGCTGCTGAAGTCTGGATCCTTCAGGCTGGGTGGGGCTCTGTGTAATGCCAGCAGAATTGCTAGATCCAGTCACTGGTAACGTCTCAGACGTATTACTACAACTCAGAACAAAACAAGCAGCCAGTGGTGAGACTGGGAGACGGGTTTGCAACAACATCCTCTCCAAAACCCAAACAATATTCTTGGCATCATCAGTCAATGTGTCCCTCCTCTGCATGGCTGACTGTGAGCTGGAAGGCCTCCTACCTGCGCTGTGTTCAGCCATTCTGGGCAAACCAAGGCATTCTGGGGTTTGCTGGTCCTAGGAGACATATATTCCAATCTGACCTGGCTTTGCCCCAGTCTTGCCTGCAAAAACCTGATCACAGAACATGATCTGCATGGTTCAAGTCGCTTTTGACCTCTGCTTTCTTCTGTAATTGTGAGGTATCTGGGAGGCCGTCTCTCTTAGTTATAAAGAATGGTTCTCCTGGGAGAATATCCTTATGAGCCAAGCAGCAAGGGACGACATATCCTTTCTGCCCTTTTAAATAGTGTAGGGAAAAAATATCTTTCCCTAAGGATATTTCCAGAGCTGCACAAACTGCTTGCTCCAGCTGTGTGAGGAGATTCCTTCACTTCTGTACTACTGCTGTCTCTTGCTTTCTTTCCCGGGCTCTCGGCCTCTCCTCAAGGCTCCGCACACATCTACTTTTCATTTCTAAGTATCGACGTGCCTGTCCTCTATGTGGCCCTCACTGTTGTCTGCAAATGAACTGCAAATGAGCCTAAACGAGGAGCAAGGTGCACGGAGGCGGCCAGGGCAATCACTGCCGATTGCTTTCGATTGTCCGCTCCTCCCAGCAACGCAATTCCTGTAATTTTGACTTCCTTGGCATCTGGCATTTCTCAAGTGTTGTGTGTGTTATCTGGCCGTGCCCAGCCTTCAGGAGCACTGAGTTGCTGGCTGCTCCAAGGGAAGGAGATGCTTCTGGGCACACAACTGGATAAACCGGGCGATGTCCGGGCCTGTGGAAGCCTGTCCCTGCCCCAGTAGAATGTCAACGCCTTTCTGCTGTGCTACGGAGCTCCTCACTGAAAACCTCTCTCAAAGCAGTACATAAGCGAGGGCTCACAGGAGGCTGAGAGGCTTTTCCAGCCGGGGAAGGGCGAACAGGAGAGACGCTGTGCCCTGCGAGCACAGCCCGCCGAACTCTGCGCCTGTGCTGGCCTCTGCTGGGCACAGGCTGAGCGCTCCCACCCGCTCCTCTCGCCAGAGCCGCTTTGACAAGGGACAGACTAAGCGGCTCTGCTGCCCATTTCGCTGTGGCTCCAAAGCATTTATGCACTTGCTTCACAAATCCCATCTCAGAATTCATTTCTGTTAGAGCTGCCAGCCTGCATCAGCAAGAGGATAAGCTCCTGCATGCTGAACCAAAGCAGCAGCCCAAGAAAGAGACCTCTCTGTTTCCTGCAATGATCATAGTGTACAAAGCAGCAGTAGTCATACAAAAATGCTGCCTGGATGCTAATACTTTAGCACACAGAAATCAAAGATCAGGAATCACTGCTAAGAGGCAAAGTATTTCTATAAATCACAAGCTGTCAAGAAGAGAAAAACCAAAGCATGGCATGAAATGACAAGAGTTTCTCTGAGTGAATAGCCCAGTGCTCACTTTGTTTGTGTTCTGCTGTGGTTTTGCCACCTTATTGAATGTTGATCTGGAGGAAATTTGAGCAGTGAGGCAGAGTTATATGTATTCATTAAGTCTTTTTAGGTTACTCAAAAACCCTATCCAACTAAATGTCAGGGAACATATATTCATTGCTTGCCAGGGCAGGGTTACAATCAGCATGTTACAGTTAGAACATGAGACTATAATTTTTCAGCAGACATCAGCTCCTGAGAGTTCTCCTGTCTCAGAAACATCCACACAGTGACAACACACCTTCCCCCCAACTCTTACACCAGTTCTGTGCTTTTTGCTAAGACACAATCAACTTTTCTCCCTTCAAAACAGCTGTGGTTTGATGTCGTGTTCCTCAGAACTTTTCCCAGGTTTGGTTTTATTGCTGCAGCATGAGTGGGAAGAAGAAGAGGGACATGCCCGAGTTCAGCAGTGAGGCTGTGCACATTTCCAGCACTCTTTCGTTATTAATTAATGTCAGCTGCAAGCAGTAGAAGATTAAAATCTTTTTCTCATGTCATTGCCATGAACTGGTATTGACCCACTGAGACGGAGGCTGGAGGATGCTGAGTAAGAAGGGTTTATATACTTCAAGGTTTGGTATTTGGAGTTAATCTGTGACCCTGATCTGGACTGGGTGTGGATATCTAGACTATGGCTGAGTTTTGAGGCTAACTCAATCTTTTTTCACTTATTTTATTCTGAACTGAACAAAGAGATCTTCATATCTCATGTGCATGCCTGGTGCACAGCAGAGGAGTGAGGTACGTTTGCTTCAATAACAGAGCTTATGCACTGCTTTCCTCACAGCTGTCTATATCTCCACAGCTTTTCACAAGCAAAGCTTGAGAACTGGGCTTAGATACTCAAGCAGCACAGCAGGCTAACCACAGCTACACAGTTTTTAGATTAGAGCCAGTTCTCATCCGGCCTGATCAGAGGATGGGGCAGAGCAAGTTGGTATGTTTGCAGAAGGCCATGCAGAGGTAACATAAGCACCCTGTGTCTGGAGTGGTGCACACTAACCAGAAACCAGCACCTTTGAGGTACCTTGTGCCCAAGTGCTCTTCCATCCTGTGCACTCTTTCTACATCTTCTTGCTGCAAGGAGGCAGCTGTGAATACTAGCACTTCAGCCATGCCCTCCCATTTATTCTTCACAGTTCAGACTTACATGATTCACCCACACAAACATGACATCTGAACCGGACAGGGTTAAATTAAAGCCATTGTTCTGCTAAAGCCTGGCTTTGAACAGGGAGATTGGATTTGTAAAGAAGTGATAAATCCAAGCTGCTCTTGGGCAAGCCCTTGCAGCCCAGGCTGGAAGGTGTCAAACTGGAAAAAAATCCTGCCCCTGGCAGGGCCACACAAATCACCATAACTCTTTGTGGCCCTGTAAAATAGATAGAGATGATGCATCCTCACCAAAGCTCCCTGAGACTGAGAGCTACACATGAAATATGCTGAAGGAGAGCAAAACATTATTTCCCTTCCCTGAATTGTACTTTTGAAAAACATGAAGCTTTGGACAGCACAGGTTTGGTGCTCAAAGTTATCCCCTGCACAACTTTGGTTGTTCTGAGGTCTTTATAAAGATAAAGTCTTCTTTAGATTAGATTTTAGACTGCAACTAAGCCACTGTGTTTTGTATAGAGGAAGGTAATTCTTGCAAAATTTTGAGTGCTGCAGAGGTTGCCTGCTGCGCTGTTATGAACAGAGTTATCCAACACTGTTCATGTATCCAGATCTTCACACTGAAAATGTAATAGGAAAGATTCTTAAGGGTTTAGTATCAAAATAATTGTGTATCTAAACTACAGTAACAAACGAATCCATTGCCTGTAAAAGCTCTTGGGATGCAGAAAGCTCTGGGTGCCAGCAGAGGGCTTGCAGGGTTCCCTGTTCCATCGGGGAATACCACTGGTTTTGTCCAGAGCCGCAGTCCTGCCAGCCTATGCTTCACTGCGTGTCTGCAGCTCAGCACTGCATCCAGGTGTGACCCTGAAATGAGTGGCTCTGCCAGCTATTCGAGCCTTGTCAAACACTTAACCTCCGAAGAACTTCACTAAAGCAGTTTAGGTGTGAACCCAAAATAAAACCTTCTCCCTTCACTAACAAAAATCTTGTAATCTTTCCTGCAGTGTCTGTTGTGAAAATGTGTGTGGGATATCTGCTGACAGCTCTTCTAGACCTAAATGCTATCAGTCAAAATATGATAGAGCCATCTAAGCAGTAAGCTAGTTAGGCTTAGGAAGTGCAATGATGAAACTTAAAGGCACAAAAAACAAAGCTGACAGTTTGAAAGCAGGGGACATCCTGTGATCCTTTGAGATTAGATACTTCCCATTTAAAGGGAACCTAAAGAACTGCATGGATGTAAGATCCAATAGATCCTGAGTACTTGCTTTTCCTTAGCAGTTTTCTTCTTTTGTTCACCTACTCCTTGGATGTCTGAACCAGTGTGGAGAGAAAAGACACCAAGGAATTATACTTTCCAGAATAATTTTCTACAATACCTTTTCCACACCCTCCAAGGCAATTTTCCTCGCCCATTCATATCACCTTGCTTGTCATTGAGGCCTGTTGCCATCTGGATTATCATTGCTGTCACCATTCCTAGCATTTATATTTATTGGGTAGACCTTGAGAATAGCAAGCTAGTTGCAAGTCTTTACATACCATAAAGGAATTGTATGTACTAATTGGTCATAAAGGCAGCATATATTCCAAGACTGTCTGTTGGATTTCTTGAGATCAGTGGGGAAGAAGATTACAGAAGTTAGATTCTACCTGATGGCCTGTACTCTAACACTTAATTTGGGTCCTGCTTCTTCCTCTGATTTAGTGCATTCCAATCTTCACAGATACTTTTGGCTCTAGGATCCTATAAGCTTTTTAGCACTTCTGCTAATCTCCATGTAAAGGAGATTTCCCTCTAGCTTTAACATCCACTTCAAGGGGTTGTCCTGAAATATAAATAATTTTTCATGGCTAAGAAATTTTTATATAAATATGCTGTGATGAGGGAAATCCAAAAGCAGCTGCTCTGTTGCTTCAAGAAGGGAAAGAGGCATGTGAGTAGAAACAGATGCAGAAATAGAAGAGGAAATGCAAAGCACAGGGGTTTTATTTTAGTATTTTATAATTAGAAATTGACAAATTATATAAAGGGGTGATTGAGTAGTTCACAGAGTTAGCAACAAAACAGCCCTGAAATCCAAGGACAGGAGTTCAAGGAAGTGTGGGCCTATAGGTATGAAAAACCCTTGCCTGATTTGGCTTTGAGAAGCCAGTGCTGCTTCTCTACCTGACTCATGTTCACTTGACAGGCTGCAGTCACCAGGGCTGGGCACTGCTTTCATGCATCTGCTTTCAGCTGTTATTTTCAGCAGAGTCTGTGTTTTAGTCATTTTTGACTTATCATTTGTCTTTTCTTACAGGACTAAGACATGGGAGCAAATGGCTCCTTGCTTGGCAGGCTCTGACTTCCCACAGATCTTATGTTGATGCTGAGTAAACCCAAGGATTTTTGAGAGAATTTTAGAAGCTGAAGGTGGGATAAAAACAAAACTCAAGATGACAGACTGTTTTTGACCCCAGTTTGGAGTAGAGCTGGCAGGAGGCAAAGGACCCAACGTGTGTCTCAGTCATCTCCCATATATCTGAAAATTTGTCTATTGTGTGTATGTTCTTTTTTAAGGCATGTATTAAGAAATTTAACTGTTCTCTGTGTCTTCCTGGTGTGTGACAGTATCTCCTCAATTCCTAATTTGTTTTCTTTATACTTTTTCTGCTTGTTCTTTTTCTGAAAAACATATTCAGTCACTGATACCTTCCTCTTTGCTGTCCAGAGACCTTATGACAACAGTCTGCTATACAGTACCTAATTCCACTATCCTGCATTTATCTGAGTTTACAAATTAAAGATGCCATGGACTATGACAATACTTTCAGTTACAGACAGCTAAGGCTATAGTCCTAAAGTAATTTCAACCTTAATACAACATGTAGATGACATATTTCAGTTAGGCTTGACTAACTCAATAATGTCTTAACCATTTGCAAATTTTATTCTTTACAGTGCTAAAGGGATAATAAATGATGCTCCTCTGAACAAACCCAGATTGCCATCCTAAAAGTTACCTGTGCATTTCTTTTCTTGACTTTGTTTTTCAACTGCTCTTTGATCAATTATAGTGATTACCTCTGTGTAACTTTGATTTCTGTATAATATTGTGGAGAATTTTATAAACATATTTTCAAATCTTATCAGCCTAGAAGTCAATATTCTGTACTATCTCACTGTTTTATTGTTAGAATTCTCAGACTAAGCAGTTGTTGAACCATAATAGTCTTATTCCTGCTCCATTACACCTCTGCCCCTCCTGCAGCACTATCACTCAATGCATTCCTAATAACATTTTGATTACAAATTTGTTACACCAAATTCCTCTGTTCATTCTGTTGTCTCAATGCAGAGATTCGAGTTAACTTTGGTTGCCTAAATTAATAATAAATGGGACTGAAAACCTCTTTTCTGGCTTTTGCTTCTGAATTTGCCTCTCTTATTTATTATGTAAAGGGGCTACATTATGACTATGTTGTACTGTTGTGAGAAGCATCCCAGTTGAGGCTGGAGGTTCATTGGCAAAGCTGTGGGCTGCGGAGGGAGAGAGTAGGATGGTTTGCAGCTCTGCCCTGTGGAACTTTAAGCAGAGTACATAGGGAAGACTGCACTGGCTCTGCTTGTCTCCAGCTCTGCTTCTGGCCTCTGGTGGGAGTAGGAAACTCAAGCAGCTGACAAGAAACAAGCTCTGTGAGGATACACAGCAAGAACTACTTAAACGGACATCTGTGCTCCTTGGAATAATTTGTGCAAAGCTTTTTCGTTTGGGGGTTTTGTTTGTTTTCTTTCATGGCAGATAAGAACATAAAGGCATCAGAGCTGTTTGTCTGTCTTTGCTCCTGACAGTAGGTAGATAACTCAGAGGACAGCATCAATGACCTCTGAAAGTGCTCCACCAAGTATGTAAAAAGGATATGATGCAGCTATCAAGCAGATACAAGCTAGAGAAACTTCACTTTTTCATACTCTGTATTCCTTTGTTTCAGGAATACAACATCCAAAGGACACTGCTCCCATTTTTCCAAATGAATTTTGACCTGTGTGTTAAATGCTGGAAGAAAGCTGAGCACCAGCAAACTTGTGTCCTTGTGCTGAGGAACGTTTATGCAATTTAGGTAACATGATGCCTATTAAACGAACTGTAGATCATAAATGATCTCCAGGCAGGCATCTCCCAGTGGTGAGTTGCTCAAGTAATGGGAAAACAAGCACTGACTCATTAACTGAGAATTCCCCATGAGAATGGAAACAAACAACCCTTTTGGCTCTTTTACTTCAGTGACGCTGAGATGTTTTAATTTTGATTTCACTGGATATTTTCACTCTCTAGCGTGCCATGTTGTGAGAAAAACCATCAGAGGCCAACCCAAACGAAACCCAAACCCGTTCCTCCTCCAGGACTCCACCCTGGCATCTCTGGCGGCGCCGGGCATTGCCCACTCGCCCACAGCCTCCGCCGGGTCACAGCTCTGCTCAGCCCACGTCCCGTTCAGCACTGGCGGCCGAAGCCTCTCCCGCCCCGGCCCTCGTGGGGTCTCCCGGCGGGGCCGGCAGTGCCGTGGGGCGGGGGTCGCGGTCGCTGTGCCGCGGGCCGGGCAGCACGCAGCCAGGGCCGCGGTCCCGCAGGCGCCGCGGCGGAGCCGGGCGGGCCGTGCCGGGGCGGGCCGTGCCCCGGCGGCCCGAGCTGCCCGGCCTCGCGGCGGGGCGGGGCGGAGGCGGGCAGGGCCGGGCCGGGGGCACCTCCCCGCGCGGGCCGCCGGAGAGCTCGGCCAGGGCGGCCGGCCGGGCTCTTCTGGGCAGGTGGTGCCGGCGGGGAGCCGAGCCGAGCCGAGCCGAGCCGAGCGCGGCCCACGGTGCCGGCATGGTGTTGGTGGAGCCCGCCGGGGCGCCGAGTCTATCGACTGCGGCGGGAGGGGTCGGTGATGCCGCCGCCGTGGTACGGCTGTCCCGGCTTCGCTGGGCCGTGCTGCTGCTCTTCAGCAGCTACTCCCTGTGCAACGCCTTCCAGTGGATCCAGTACGGCAGCGTCAACAACGTCTTCGTGCGCTTCTACGACGTGAGCGCCTTCGCCATCGACTGGCTTTCCATGAGCTACATGCTCATCTACATCCCGCTGCTCTTCCCTGTTGCCTGGCTGCTGGACAAGAGGGGCCTGCGCTTCATCGCCCTGGCTGCCTCGGCCCTCAATGCTGTGGGTGCCTTGGTGAAGCTGGGCAGCCTGAAGCCGCACCTCTTCCCCGTCACTGTCCTGGGACAGGTCATCTGCGGCCTGGCCCAGGTCTTCATCCTGGGCATGCCCTCACACATCGCCTCGGTCTGGTTTGGCTCCCACGAGGTCTCCACTGCCTGCTCCATTGCGGTCTTTGGGAACCAGGTAATGGGCAGCTGCACCCCGGCTGGCTGCGCTGGTGGGGCGGGCTGTCACCTGCCTGGCCGGAGACTGGAGGTGCTAAGGGAGCAAACCAGGGAGGGGTAAGAGATGTACATGGCTTGAAGGGCAGCTGCAGGGATAACCCGAATTTAAATGAAATTTTTTTTCTGGAAAATGCATCTGGTCTTTGGAAGGATGTCACTGGTGTTAGCCTGGCGGCTGATAGTTGTGGCAGAGGCAAGTGGGACCTCCATCTACAAAGTTCGGGGCAGCAGGGGGCTTACGTATGATTCTGGCTTTGAGGGGGTCTTAGGCTGAGGCTCTTCTCCAGTGCCCTCCACTTCCTGTGTGTGTGAGTCTCCAAGTCCAGAGCTGTGATTCAGGAGAATTATGAATGGCCTTGGGGGGAAGGCACAGCCCTGAGAAACTGTTTCAAGCAGAGTGCCTTTCAAATCTGCAATTGCATCTGGACTTGACGCTGCAATATCCTCTTCCTGCTGACAACTAGATGGGATAAAGGAGCTTAGCTGTCTGCTGAAAACATTGTCATTGGGCTCTGGAGGACAAGGACTTTAGCACTTTCATACCTCTTAAAAGTTGGTACAGTGTTTCCACAAGCAGTTGCTTTGACAAAAAGAAAAGTTCCATCGGGCCAGTGTCCGGTCAGCTCCCCAGCACTATTTTTATCAATACAGGCGCCTGAGGCCAGTGACCCACACTTTCTCAAGCTGTGAATGTCTTTTCTTGTAGACAAAGGTGATAGTATTTTACACTGCTTTGAGAGGATCAGGGAAATACCTTCTTTACCCTTGCACCGGAACACGTGCTCATTCAGTTGAAGTGAATAAGCCAATACTGATGCAATGAGGCATAAGTGAAGTAAGCCTGGTTCTTCTGCAGCCCTGGCCCAAAGAAGAGGAAAGTGGCATGTGGCATTGGCTGCTGGGCCTGTGCCCCTTGCTCTGAGATGCAGTGTACTCCCCTGCATGTGACTCCTGCTCCACCCTGGGCCATTCAGCCTGTGAGTGACTGCCATTCTGATTTGAATGGTTTTCAATTCAGGTAGCTTCTAATACAGACTGCTTCTTCCTGTGTTTCTGTATTTATTTAGATACTGCTGAGGTAAAAAGAGGTGAATGCTTGGAGATAGTATTTGAGGAACAGAAGTTTGCAGAACAGCACCAGGGAATTAAGGGGACTGCTTTACATCTAGGAAAGAGAAAACATACTTATCTTTAGTGCACCTAAGCTTTCCTTTTTGCTTTTATCATCCGTTCTAGTGGGCTGGTTTTTATGTGTTTTTACATTAATCTTTAGAGTGGAAAGCATCTAACTTGGCATGAGCAAATAAGTAACTGAGCATTTTGCTGTCAGACTTTAAAAAGAATTATTCAGGTGGAGTTACTCAACAATGTGCATTAGAAATCTAAACAATGAGGCTGTCTGCCTGTGCTATATGACTGCGTGGAGTCATCAGCGTCCCAAAAGGAGTGGCTTAATGTAATGGTTGTGAAAAGCAAACTTTAGCTACCCTTTTGGTGCTCCACACTGCTCTGGTGGTTGCACTGACATGACAATGAGACCTCAGTTCCATACATAGACTTTGCTTTGTAAGCCCAGACTTTCCTTTTAGAGAATCAGAGAAGTCAGAAATTGCAGTGACTAAAGACAGAGCATACTCCATAGGGAAGACCTATTTATTCCCATAGGCACAATCCCAGTGAATAAAAACTAGCTATTTTGTTTACTGGTGAGTTTGGGCAGGGGGAAGAAATAGAAGCATACATTTTTACTGACTGTAGTTAAAGACTGTATTAGAGAGTGTTAGCAAAGGGTATAGTACAGTGGTTTTGTAATTGCAGTATGGTAAATTATTCCCTATGCCGATTTTTCTACAACTGTATGGTTTTCCTTTCCTTGCCATGTGACTTAGTTTAATTATTATTGTTATTGAATACCATGCACTGTTGTCTTTCTCCATTAAGAATTGCAAGCAACTGCATGAAGAAGCAGGGAAGTATCACTGCTTCTTTATTTGCTATGCCTGTCCTCTTTCTGCTCGTGTTCTCTTGGTCCCAGGCTGCACTTCAGCTGTCCTGAGGAAAGCCCTGCCTGCTGGCTCATCTCGGTCTGCCAGGGCCATGTTTGCTCAGGACAACGCCTCTGCTTGCTGATTGATGGTAACCCTCAAGTTCAAAGTTAGTCCTGAAGAGTGAAGACTAGGAGTTAAATGCCCTTTAAAAAAAGCCAAACAATCCCTAGTAAGTTACTACATCACCTCACTTGTTTCTGGCCATTTGTTGGCTGTGGTATCTGAAGTACAGAACCAGGTTAGATTGAGGACTTTTGAATCAGTGCTGAAGAGCTTCTAGAAGAGTGTGAACACCTGTGGATGTGTTCACATTCTCTTGTTCACCCACTGCTGGTTTAAATGACATTTTACTTTTACCGCGTTTTAGCAGGAAGATACATAGGTGTTTTCCCATTCTTTTTCTTTGTCATGGAAGCTCATGTATGGGGAAGTATAGAATAAAGTTTGCCTTTTGGATACTTTGCAATTAATGTATTAGTGTTATTGAAATATTACTGGCTTCTCATTGCTTGAAAACTAGGAAAAATCTATATGGGGAATCTTCCTCATGCTGAAGGTCTGGGGGACGGAAGCAAAAGTGTTATGGAGAGTTCACGAATGTTCTTCAGATGTATTTTAATATGGACAGGAATTTGTCTGCCATGCTTATGAAATACAGCTGTCAATAGTAGTGTGCCTACTACAGTGTGTACATCAGCAGTGTTCCCTGTGGAGCATCTCGGTGCTGGGTATCTATGAAGTGTGAAGTCCCACACACAAGATGGATAGGAGAGAGCAGTCTGGGTAAGGCCATGCTGTTACTATTTTGTTGTATTGATTCATCAGCTGCAGCCCTCTTTGGGACTGTGGTTCAGACCTGACAGGCAGCAGCAAACAGGCTTCTCACCTTCTGCACTGATGGCAGCCTGTCCATCATGCTCCCTGGCCACAGGACTGTGGTGGAAGGAACGCTCTCCTGAGATACTGACATTTGCAGGAGTGTGTGCTTGCTGGAGCAGCAGGTCTTGTCCCTTCATTGAGCACACTTGCTCTTCTGTAATGTGGGGATGAGGAAGCACATGATCCTTTGGCATGACAGAACTAACGTGGGGCAGGAGATGCTTAGGTAGAGAGGTAAATTTTCATCGCATTTTGAAATTTATAAGCTGGAGTCTGATGGCCAGGTACCAGCTCTCTCCTTCAGCTGCCATGGTGCATTCTGAACTGCTGTGCATATGCTGTGTTTTATGCATATCTCACTCTTAGCTTGACGGGCAAGGGGCATGGGCAGCATGCAGAGAAGTGTATAACTGTGTTGCACACAAAGAACATTTGTGGATTTGATTTGTATTGCTTTGCTACTAGTATTGGGGTTTTTGTTGATTAAGAGAGACCTTGTTCCTGTTTCTTGCTGTTTTGACAAAGAAACAAGCCACTGATGGGAGTATGAATATGGGCCTGTTAAATGATCTTTTTGCAGTAATTTGCCTTTTTTTATTTCTTTTAAGCAGAGCTTGAAAAAAGCGAAGCGATTTGGGAGGAAAGAAAACTTCAGCCTCATATTAAGCTCTGCTTTAGGGAAAAAATAATGCAGCACCTTAGGATCTTAGGATCTATCCCTGTTCTGATATAGCTGCTATGTGACTTTAGAGATTTAGGACTTCCATAACAGAAACAGCCTGAGGCAGATGTTTTAGATGGTATCTGCAGCTCGTTGGGAGTGCCTGTCTTGAAGTGATTGGGTGATGACCTTTGACATGGACAAACCTGGTGATGAGCTATGAATGAAATTCAGGGTAATGTTCTCTCTCTCACTCCTGGTGAGCCCTTTCATCTGTTTTGAACTGGAGGAAAAAGTCTGCCTGGGGTAGTGGCTGAGGTGTGTTTTGCCATGTAATTGGGTCTGCAACATCTGAGTAGCCATTGCTTTTGAGCTGGTGATCCTACAGTGCTGTTTGTGCTGAGCATGTGCCATTGTTTGATGCCTCACTGGTAACTCTGTTCTGTACCTTTTGTCCTTCAGGGAAGGCAGCATCTTAAAGTCTAAGAAGCATTGTGGAAATATATCATGTCCTGTGGAGTCCCTGTCTTCCAGTCTTTGAGCGGACATTTAGACCGTCTTTGGCTGCTCTGTCTCTGCTGGAGGATTCCCACCCCTTCAAACAATTCCCTGTTACAAATATGGACAGATGGTGCTCTGTCTTACAGCCCTCTAGCTTGGCCCTGTATGTCTGAGTTTTAGCTATTAGAATAGAGAAGATTTTAGTGGCAGTAGCTAATGTTGGTGTAGTTGCTTGTAGTGATATTAGTTAATGGGTGACATTCTCCAGCCCTGTCTCCTTTCTCTCCTGACAAAAAAAGGGCTGGGTGGATCAGAGCACTTGGATCCCAAGGAGTGCTATATGGCTAACTCTCCAAGATCCCAAATGTGGCTCAGTGTGGGAGGGTGTGCTGACCAAATAGCAGTGTGGCTTTTGCAGGAATGCCTCCGTTTCTATAAATGGACATGAGAGCCTGAAATGAACTTTTTCTACCCATTTCATCTGGTATTCCCTTCCCAGATATACACCAAAGGCAGCTCCCCTTTCTCTCTCACAGAAGCTGGCTTTTGGGTTAAGTTCTGCATGGGAGTTTAAATGAATGTCTGCAGTGTTTCTGACAGGAGGGCAAGCAAGCACCCTCAGCACTTGTCCTGCAGGATATCCAGGATATGCAGGATATCTGTATTAGGTGACTGGGGTAGGTCCTTGACCAAAGCATATCCCCACTGAGGATTCCAGTAGCAGTTGAGATAGTTGTTAGAGCTGAAACCTCTCTGTATTTTTCTCTCTCCTGTCTACTGCTGTTGTTTTGTTGTGTTGCATTTCTTTCCCAGACGACTGGGGGAAGGTGCATTCAAGGCTGGCAGGCACTGAGTGACTCGCACAGGGGA